TCTTAGCTGAACCTTGCTAGGAGACTTTGTTGGTTTTTATTCAATTCAATTCAACACCCACACACCCATCTCACCTGAGGTGGAGGGCCCAGGAGGCAGCTGGTGCTGGGGGTGATGGGGATGCTGGTGTGACTGAGCAGGGTGTGGGATGGAGGAGGGCTGAGGCAGGACTCTGGGTCGGTCCAGCCCCTGTAGGGCGGACAGGCTGGACCCTGAAGAGCTGGGGGACGGACCGGGCCTCTCAGCCGCCCCGACCCCAGCGATGGCCGGGTCGGCCTCCAGGATGAGTCTAGCCAGGGACTCAGCCAAGTCACCTCCCCCTCCTCGATCCTCCACATCTGAAACAACAGTTTTACTTTGGATATTAGAGTCTTAAAAAAAAAAATAATTATATATATAATTTTATTTATTTATTTTTTTTAATTATCTTAAAATCTGAACATGTATTGTTATCTTAAAATCTGAACAGAAAATTAACTTTATCACATCACTGACCTGGGGGAGGCAGTCCAGAGGAAGACGAGGAGAATTTGAGTGAAGGGAGGGAAGATGGAAGGGGGTGATGGGCCGCAGAGGAAGGGAGATGGGTGGAGGATGAGTCTCCGGCTCCTCCTAAATCTAATTCTCCTCCCATCCCCCCTCCTCCCATCCCCAGCACCCCTCCGAGCCCGTCCCTCTCATCGAGCTCAGCGAGGCGTTTGTGTTCCTCCTGCCAGTCGTCATCTGGAAGAGCAGAGGGGCCAAACAGAGTGGTTGTTTGTTCTGTGGCCATCAATCAACTGAGCTGAAATCTTACACATAGTTCTCCAGAATGATGACGTTTTTTTTGGCCTACAACTTTGACAAACTGTCTCAAATGTGATTTCGCAATCATCAAATGCGACCAACAACTATAAAGAACATCTACAAACTCGTCATCAAGGTGACCCTGGAGGGACTGACTTAAATTAACAAATTCGGTCACCAGATTAACTCTGTTGTGTCACAAATACTGACTGGGTGAATTTAAGAAAATGGAGATGCAGGAACACAGTTAAGTGTATGAAGGTGAAGCAATGTTAACCTAAATTCTAATTGGGAAAATTCAGGAAGAAAATGTATTGGTGACGTTGTGTATAATACGTACTGTGTTGGGCATGCTATTGGAAAAGTGCAGTGCTGAGCTACTAGTTACTGTGATGAAATGAAGCTTCACTACATTGAAGCTACCCTGCAGAGAAATGTAGCAAGCTAAGCTACAGCAATGTGGCACAAATAGTTTAACTACATCAAAGTCATTTTTTTTTTAGCTTTTTAGGATGTCACTGTCATACTTTGAAGTGCTTCTGTCAGTTAGCTTTACATATAAACTTCTGTGTATGGTAGCAGTGTCATTTACTGGTCCTTAATTGTTTTATTTCAGACCACAGCAGAAAGCTCTGTTGACCCTGAGCTCCATTAATTGTGTAATTATGAACAAGCATAAGAGCATTGATTGCTCATCTCCTCAAGTATAGTACTTTGATATTTACACATTTAATATATATATATTCAAGGCATGACTCACCGATGGCCCCAGCTCCGAAAGTGTCGTCGTTGAACTGATCAATTTCATCTTCCTCTTCTACCAGTCCCTCGTCTTCCTCCTCCAACGTACAGTCTTCATCCAGGGACTGCAAAGACAGCACAGGAGATAGAGACGATGGGACAAGGAATGCAGTGAGTGGAAGGTGGGAAGGAGGAAACGCATTGAGACGTGACCATGGAGTGGAGAAAAGAATGTTACACACTGACCCTTTAAGATATGTTTTCTTGGCATTTTAGACAGTGACAGGTGGCGAGATGGACAGGACAGGAGAGAGAGAGAGTGAGAGAGAGAGGGACAGACCGAGGTGACACACAAGCTCAAATCAAACCCTTGATACATTGGGTGCACACTCCACCATGTGAGCAGTTCGATTTCGATTTACCTCTGCATTTTTTTACATGCGTCTATGCACAGGTATAGAGTAGTAAAGGATGTGGTACGTAAAAGTACTAATCACAGCAAATAAATAAAACCTTATAAACAGTATAATTTTTTCACTCTACAGAAACTCTTTTGTAACTGTAACAGTGAGAAATACAAATGTTTTCCAAAATAATGTATTTTCAATTCTATTTCAGGCTAATATTAATTTTTATGTAATTTTTTTTATTTCTCAAGAAGGCAGCAACAGACATCCTTCAATTGCAACACTGGACAGTAGCATCAGACTTTAAACCTGCTTCTCACCAGGTTTGGTTGAAAGTAAAATTTACCACAGTATTCTTCCAATTGTGAAAAATTAAGCAACACATAAGTTCAAGAATAAGGTTAGATTAGTTAATAACATCAACAACGTTAATGACGTTAATGAAGGTGCAACTGTCACCCAAATAGTCTACTGGCTTCCAAAATGTGGTGCTGATAATTCATATATTGATTTTATATCCATCTGTTAGAGCAGAGTCTACTAGTAACTGGAGACACTTGGTCTCTGTATCACACACTCTCATCAGCAGCAAGCAGTCAATCCTCAATCCTATTTCAATGTGCAGAATATCAGGTCTCAAGTTCTCACTAACAGTCACCATAACTATGCTCTTTATTGTATCTAACCAATATGACCAACTGTCAGGAGACGTTGGGAACGCTCCCTTTCTCATGTCTGCCAGTCATTCATGAGGCCAAATAATGCCTGAGTCAATGACTAAATCTGCAGGTTAAAAAGGCAAGTTGTGTATAGGGACGCTTTATTAAGAAGAACTGTTGGGTTACTGCATTACCACGCAGGCGATAAATACTGTATATGTGCAATTTGTTTCCCATTTGTCAGCTTGCCTCTGTGTTTCTTAAAATATAAAAAGGACATTACAGTGTAAATGAACCTGGGGACCCAGTGCAACATCACACTAGAAAGGTGTATGACCATCTCTGCTACACTTACAAAATTAACCATCAGGCTACTTCAGCTAATGACGTATGGGAACCGTTATTCATGAGTTAATGTAATAATTAGGGGACAAAAATATTTCACTTATAGAAGCAGCATTAAGTTGAGGCAGTACAGAGGTCAAAGTGTGTTACATTAACGCTAGAAATTTGTGTTTGAGAATTCCGTTTGACTTGAACCGTACACCAACTGGAAGTTAATTCATAACTACGTACATTAGTAGTTCATTAATAGCAGTAACTGAAAATTGTTGATCAGAATAGCCAGTTAGCCTTACCCAGGTCAGTAGTGACCGAGCATGGGTGCTCGCGGGGGAAAACATCACAACGTAGCAGAATAGCTAACTCGAGACGTTAACGTTAAACATGGCGGTAACCTTAAGTGTAGTTACGATACTAGTTAGTACCCCATCTTTAAACTACGAAGTTTAAATAATATTAATAATTAGGACTCGGGGCTTCTTCCCCAAGACCCACTGGCACCCTGCACATAGCAAGAGAACCCGTTAGCAGCAATGCTAATGCTGACGTTACATCACGCAGGACCCACGTCGATGGAAAATTGCTGCCCTGATACTAACCAATATGATACTGTGTGGACACAGGTTATAGCTATCACACACTGGCCTTTCATAACTGAGATTAACTCATGAAACAGTACGCCCATCCTGGTCACCAGCGGGAAGGAGCGCTCACCTTCCCACCGGCTCACCTCGCCAGGCAAACAGGCTGCTTCACAGGCCGCCAACCGCATTGAAATTGGCAGTCGCATAAACAATAGCAACATTCCCCATGTAAATCACAGCCACTCTGGAATTACTACCAGATCTCTTTAAAACATCTGAAATGATCCCCAGGAAAGGGTACATTGGTTTAGGAGGTACAATGCTCACCTGAAATCGAAACATCTATCTTTAGTCTTGCGGGAAAAGAGGTGCATCGGGAGCGAGGTGGAGCGCAAATGACGCAGGAGGGACGTCCACTTACGGAACGACGTGAAAACGACGTGAACGAGCACGCATTTGGGCACAGAACTGTTTTCGTTTTCATGATACCACCTTGTGTCAGTGCGGCCGCCATATTGGTACAGGGAAGCACTCATGCTCCTGATCCATGTATGCATGTTTTTAAGCCAAAATACCTTATATCTTATGTAGCCTAAACAGTAATAGTTCTATAATATATTATTTAAGCATATCTTACCCTATGTAAAGCTGCAGTAGGTAACTTTTATAACTATAACGTTGTGTCATATTTACAGTGCCCTGACAGTAGAACATGAGATTGAAAAAAAATGTTTTTAATTTAAATGCTTAAATTAATTTATTACCAAATTATGTGTACAATGAGTCACTAATGTAAAAACATACATGATATCAAATGTTTATTATTTATATGGCTTTTTTAATATACTCTAACAGAGTGCTACAAAAATACATTATAAAATACAAAAACAAAGACCCATCTCATTAGACAAAAAGGTCCAATCTCTGGTTGTGTACATTATTTGTAAATTTGCAACTATTTACAGTGAAACATCACACCATTAACAATTGTTTGTGGAGCCTGCTCATATTACATTTGAACTGCACAGTCTACACTCTGCCTTTGAATTGTCTATCACATTAACATGTGTCAAAACTTTACTACGTTTTTTACCTGACATACTGTATATTACCTTAACTTAATATCATGACGGTCACTTTACCTTATATTAATAAGATAAGATAAACCTAAAAGAAAAAAACAACTTATTGTGATATATCAAATTCAACTTTAGTAACAGAAGAATATTGTAAATGTAATGTTATGTAACACCCTGTTGTCTCGTTTCTTGCATTTCTGTCAAAATTCAAAAGTCTGGCTTTTTAATATTTGAACAATGAAATGAGTTGAATAGTCCTGAACCCCGCGGCAAGATGGCGGCGGCAGCGACGCATCACAACCTCACAATCCGGATGTATGCTCCTCTCCTGCTGTAAGGAAGAGCTATGAAACACCAGTAAGACAGAGCACAGCGGAAAGGTAAACACAAACTAACAATATCCTATTCTTTATTATTCACTCAGTCATTTTCAGCCTCAGTTGTTGGTGTACATATGCGTTGTATTATATTCAGTAATGAATTTAAAAAGGTATACTCGCAGTTTTATATAGTGTAACCTTTTTGAGGCCAACAACTGGAATTTGGTGGCACATTTTCTTCCAACTACAGAAAATAAAGATGTTATGGAGGTAGCGTGTTCTTTCTTTCTTTCTGTCTATAGGTTTGTACGACGGAGTATTAGGGCCAGACTAAGAATAAAATATATTTTATTTTTGGGGAAATTACGAGAATAATGTCGTAATGTTACGAGAATAAATTCGTACTAATACGAGAATAATGTAATAATAATTAAAAAAGTAGTTTTAATGAGGAAAAAAAAAGCTTCGATAGCGTTATCAAGAGCTCACGTGACCAGCTCAACCAATCAGCAGCCTCAGCCTGAGCCCAGCAGCCGCTGTACCTTACAGTCAACAGGTAAGATAACGTATTGATCATTTCGTCGTTGAAAGTTCTCATAAAATTACTACTTTATTCTCGTAATATTATGACTTTATTCTCGTAATTTCCCCCCCAAAAATATATTTTTCTCTTAATATGGCCCTAATACTCGTAATACGGAACATACTCCCACCACCAATTAAAGGATCGACTTGATATTTTCACTAAACAACTCATGACCAATTTTTATGATCTTTTATGGTCAGATTTTTATGAGACGGTTTTTCCTTGATCCAATATAACATTCCTATACCCGTTTTCTGCTTTTATCTTAATATCGTTTTTATAATTAACAAAAAAGTGTATTATATTTATTATTATTATTATTATTATTATTATATGATTTGTGTGTGTGTGTGTGTGTGTGTTGTGTGTGTGTGTGTGTGTGTCAGCCCCACTATGGTTCAGTGGCAGCTCTGCACTGTGGAGCACCTGATGAATTCAGGGTTCGGCCGTCCTTTTCCACGACATGGCCTTCAGCTCCTGTTTTGGTTTTCCAACCACTGTGTGACCTGTGAACTCATTAACTTTGTGGTCATCATGAAGGTAAGTAGTACATATTCTACTTTTCCCCATGTTTCTCTTATTATTAATAAGTAATTACTATGTTTTGAGGAACACATAATATTAATGGAGATTCTGTAGCCTATAACTTTTAATAGTAATACTCCAGTAATATTGATTGTTTCCAATGAAATTCATGTGTATAATAAAAAAGTAAATAATATGTGGAATGACTGGAGTCTGTTGCCACAGCTGGTGTCTGATTGTCAACCAGAGAAAGGTTTCTATGGTTTCCACCTGTTTGGGAATATTGAAGAACTTCTGCCTGTATTGGAGAGGCAGTCCAAGAGAAAGAGACAGGTTTGTGATGTGTTTTGTTTGTTTCTTTATTTGTCTTTTTTTTTTATTGAAGTTTTTTTTTTTTTTAAATCAGTTTTAAACATGAAGATCAGTTTACTCCTCACTAGGAGTACTACACAGCCCAACCCCTAACCCTGCTGCCTATACGTTAACCAGCCAGCCAGCTAGCTAAGATTGGTTCATGTGACAGAATAATATATTCTGTCACAATAATATATTTCTGTTGTGCTGCAATAACCTGTACTCAAATCACATAGTTTCTATTCTATTTCATTTACTACTACACTTTTTACTTAAACTTGAGACCAATCCTATTTTTAATGTAACAGGTACCAGACTAGTTCTAAATTTGACCACTGTGTCAACCACAGTATCATACCACAAGTGAGAGGTACACAGGTGGCGCACTGCAGATGTGTAGGTTTATTCTCTGTTACATTTAACAAGGAAACTTCAAACACACACAGAAAGAAATTTGCAATATCCTTTGTTACAACTTAAAACATTTGTTTTATTGAGTCAGTTTTAGCCCCCTCAGCCTCCACAAAGTGGAACTACCCTCCTCATGAAGCTGGTCGTGCTGGATAGGCTATGGTTGTGTGTCTGTTGTCACCACTAGTGTTTAATGTCTTACCTGCTCCACCTTTCCTCTTGGGCCGTCGATCTCGCTCCATTTTTCAAGCATGTAGAACTACAGGTGAGGGGAGGAGGGAGGAGGAGGGAGGAGTGCGGGAGCGCAACTGTGTGTGTGTGTGTGTCTGCAGTGCTGTGACAGAGAGCCTCAGAAAAAGAGAGGAGGGGGTGTGTTTGTGCCCAACGTTGCTGCTCAGTCTGTGTGAGCTTCAGCGAGGCAGATACCCTAATGAACCGCACGACGGATTGTTTATTTCAAAATCAAGCGCGACCCGAGCCGAGCCTTTGGTCCCGACCATCGGCAATCGCTGAGCGGGCCAGTACGGTGGCCAGGCCCCCGGAAAATGTCCCGGTGCTCCCGATGGCCAGTCCACCACTGTTCTTGACACAGCCTGTGGAAACAGGTGTATAAAGTGTTCTTTTCATTTTTTGTTTTACATTTAATTTAATGTTTTTAAATCTCGGTCTGTCTTGGGGATTTATAAAAGAAACCCCACTATAGTGGCAAGTTGCATTATGGGAAGTGCTTTTGGAGCCACAATAGTCAATAATGAATCTCAGCTGCTGCTTAAATCTTGAGCATTCTTTTTGTCTCCCCCATTTTTTCATTGTGCAATAATCTACTTAAAAGTTGGAGTGAGCATTTAAATACTTATTTTTTTAACCTAACCCATCCATCCATATGCTCCCTGACGCCCCACTAGCTTACCTTTATTCTCTACATGCCATCTCATTTAAGCCTCTCTGTCTCTCCCTCTCTCTCCCTCCAGGTTGCGTACTTTGAAATTGGCAACCTGAACACAAAAACATACCCAGGTGCTGCAAACCTCCCGACATATGTGAGGGAAAATTACGGGCTGGATGGTAACCGTGGTAATAACAATATAGACCGCATCATCATCAGCTACCAGGTGAGAACCAGGGTGGTGGAGACAGTGTACGTCACAGAGCATGACGGAGAAGCCTCCTGGAGGTTCAGTCCTGACAGGACTTTTGAAATCAGCTGTGAGCTGATTCGAGCCCTGCAGAGCCCACAGCTAGATCTCACCACCTTTCTCATCCAGGTGGGCTACTATAGTGGTCACCAGGTGATTCAGGATAACTATATTGGAGGTAGTCACAACCCAGAGCCCTCGGCCCAGCAAATGTTCAACACTGTGCAGACCTACAGTGGATCTACGGAAAGGACGGCGCAAAGTGGTGACCTACGATTCTTCTCACCAGCCTTTAACCAGCAGCTAGGTGTCAACGTAGAGCCCTTCAGCTATGACCAGCAACGGCACTACATCGTCAACGTACACAACTACAGCGGCTTGGAACACACTTACTGGATGCCTGAAACCATCAAGGGATCAGGGACTACTTCTTGGAAAAGTTATTTGTCATCTGGGTGGGAGCAGTTTTATGAAGGTAGAGCTGCAGTCACATTCTGTATGTGTCTCACAGTTCTTAGCATTTCTACAGTGGGGTTATTTACGTGTGAGCAAGGTCTCAGTAAGATGCTGATAGTTTTGGTTTTATTTGCCCAGGTTTTCATACATCTGTCTTTCAGATGATCTGCTGCCACATCAATACAGTGGCTAATAAAGCAGTGTTACCTCTGGTGCTCACAGTGTTGAAAAATTACATTTAATAATAATAAACTTTATATACTATATATATCTCGAAGTGCTTTAACATTTAAAAAGGAATAAAAACAGAAAACACATTAAGTTAAAAGGCAGGCCAGTACAGATAAAGAGAAAGCAAGTCTTTTGATTGATCAATTAATAAAAATACATTTAAAGGTACATTCAACTAAATTAAAAAGACATAAAAGGATATTTAAAAACCGCCTGTGAGATGTTCGTCTATGTGATGCAAGCAGAAGTTGCTATAAAAACGCTAGGTTAAAGATCTTTTTAACTAAGATCAACTGAAAAGATTAACTTTATTAATTCCCATTTCTTTTATCAGTTTTTTTTTTTTTTACATAAACATAGATTGGAAATACAACACGCAAACACAGGGTTTATAGACATGCAAATGTGGACAGATGGTGGAGTGATGTGCTGCCATGTAGCGGCGCCCTAGGAGCCGTTAGGGGTACTGTGCCTTGCTCAATGGCACCTCAGGAGTGGTCCTCCGAATCGTTATCCATGCTGGACTTGAACCAGCCAGCGGCTGCCCCTAATCTCAATTAAAGAAAAAAATTTGAAATAACTCAACAGTTTGTCTTTCCAGTAAACACAGAACTACTTTATGCTGAAGGAACAGGGCTTTAATACTGTTGCCAGTGAAGTCTGTTGATAATGTAGGGACACAGGCATTATGAAGGTTGGTGCAGATCCTTTTTTTAATGTCATTTTCAATGCTGTGAGCACCACAAACACAATTCCTGAGGCAAGGAGTAAAAATATGAATATGTGTGTGTTTTTAGAAGCTAAAAACATTAAACCCCAAACCGATGCACACTTGTATCTCAGTAGACTTGTAACCAGTGGAGATAAGTGGGGAAATGTTTTAGCAATTTGGGCAAATGTACCCTTTAATGGTAGGCAGTTGAACAACTACAATTCTTGCGTATATCCACTGCCACTTTAACACAGACTTTGAATCAGGGCTACTATATAAAAGGAATTATGGAAATGAGATTTTATTGCTGCTTGACCCTTTGTGAATTTCTGTCTCCAGGTTTTAATAAAGGAGTTAAGAAAAGGAGTGGAGGCATCAGCTTCATCAAGATTCTCCTCGGTGCTGGAGCGCTGTACCTGGTGGCCAAATGTTTCAGCTGGCTGAGGAGCTGCGGGGAGGGGGACATAAATGAAAAAGTTGTCAAGAGGATTCCCTGGAGGGCTCCAAGATATCTGCACACACATATCATGCTGGATTATGTGTACTAGGATTTTAGGGTGTAATGATAGTCCTAATATTCTCTACAGTGATATACTACTTTAATACATGCTGTGAGTAATTTGTAATGAACCTGAAATGATTTAGAGTGATGACAGTCTTTCTTGGGTGTTGACTGTCAAAATATAATATTCCATACTGGACTTTTTAATTCTATTTTCCACACTGGAAAAAAATGCACTGTAATTTTGATGTAATGATCTTGTGAAGATCTTAATTTTAGAAACATGAAACCGGTCAGTCAAGACTGTTTTAACTAAAGATTGTGATAATGAATTGAATTATAATTCTTTGTAGCCGTAAAGACGTCATATTGTAAATACTGATATTTCAAATTCATTACATTATTATTCATTGATAATGACTGTTGAAATTGTGCAGTATTTAAAGGGCCAGTAAGTAGGATTTAGTGGCATCTAGTGGTGAAGTTGCAGATTGCAACCATTTGAATACAGCTCAGCCTGCCGTGTGTGTAGGAGAAACTATGGAGGCGGCGAACAAAAGGCCCCATTTAGAACCAGTGTTTGGTTAGTCTGTTCTGGGCAACTCTAGAAACACGGCGGTTCAATATAGCCTTCTGTAGGTAAAAACGTATTATTCTAAGATAATGAAAACACAATAATTTTTAGGTGATTACATGCTAATAAAAATATACCTATGAATATTATATTCCATTTCTGCCAATAGATCCTCCTAAATGTTACACACTGTACCTTTAAGTGTAGGCTATGCAGTGTATATGCAGTACCTGTTAACGTGGCACAAATAAGTGAGCAGATTTATTTATGTCAGCTATCTGAACTCGTCTTACAACCAATGTTGCATGACCTACTGTTTATTCTGATGTGCCTTTATTTGTTCTTCTTCTGTGCTCCAGTAAAGTACACATTGTTGGAAAACAAAATATGCCTTCATATTACACCATCTAACTGCCCCATCCCTCACAGGTTCTGGGCAGTCAACCATAGGTTGCCAGAGAAGAGAAATCATGAGTGTCTGCCTGCAGCTGCTCTTGATCTGATCAGTAATATTGTTACTGCCACCACATTAGACTGTTGTTGGGGAGCTATCTGCTGTACAGCTCCAAGCTCTAAGTAGTAGAGGATGCTGTTTTAGAGCCTAAGTGTTTATAGAGTGTCTGGCAGCAGCAGATGGCAGCATTGAGTGAGAAATCACTTCCAACATGTCTGTCCTCCTGTGATAGTAGTAGACAAAGTGCACAACATTCCCCAGTGTATTTGAAACAATGAGATAAATGAGATAAAAGTAAATAAAGAGTTTGAAAAGAGGGTCTCCAGTGTTTATTCTTTTTTCTTCAAATAAATCATTGACTGAAGCCAGACAGATCAGTTATAAGCTATTAATAAGAACAATTTTTGGGTTAACAGATTGAGAAAAAATCCATAAGATGGTGTTTATCCTTTCTATTTGGTTATAATGCAGTTGAAAAGTTAGTTTATCCATTAATGAATACACTAAAGCTTCTTACTTTCTGTTGTAGTGATTAAAACAATAATATTCCAAGTCTGACAGTAACATAATAAAGAAAGCAGAATGCCGGAGGAGGATGAACACCAGCCAAAGGGATTTCCACAACCTGGCAACCCAGAGTCTGATGTTTATTTATGGTTTATACATAAAGCATCAAGTACTAATTTATTAAGCAATACATATATAAATAATACTTATATGTGTCTCGCTTTATATTACTTATACAGCTATATAACATACACACATACATCATTTTATATTATGTGCTATATATCATAGTACTGTATTATTACTGTATATTCTGCTTATACATTGTATAACACTTACATATACATACATATGTATGTATATGTAAGTGTTTACAACACAACAACAAGTTTATACCACATCACACCTGTGCATGTTCACACTGAACAAACGGTTTAATATAGTTGTGATGTAATAAAAAACTCCTTATTGTTTATGAAACAAAAAATTAGAGGAGAGGAAAAAATTTATTAAAAAAAAAAAAAAAAAAAAAAAAAAAAAAAAATATAAAAAAAAAAAAAAGTCATGTAAGTAATTTGCTCACATATACATACTAAACTGGCATGTTGGGCAAATATTATTTTTGCCCAAAAACTGCATGGGATTAGCATAAAGTGGGCATGTCAAAAGGGAGACTTGTGTGTACCTTTTAGAACCCCTTTTAATTCGGGTTTCTTGAGGTCAGAGGTCAAGGGATCCCTTTGAAAATGGCCTTGCCAGTTTTTTCATTGCCGAAATTTAGTCTAAATATGGAGCGTTATTTACAAATTTGGTACTAATGGATGCACTAGGTCTTCTAGTTTAATATGATACCAGTATCTTCACTCTAGCTTTAAAACAGAGACACTGTGTAGTGGAAGAGGAAAGGATTTCAGGGGTGGCCCTTTGCATTGTGCCATTGCAAAAACACTGAATTAGGTCTGTACTTACTGTATTATACATTCTTTAGCAGTAAAGTAAACTTTTACCCTGCTGATGGACTTTGTGGACCAAGAGGAATTACTTTTTCCTCTAGTGTGAAAGTATGTAGTATTGGATTTAATGAACAAAATAATGAATAAGAGGCTACATTTGTGAAGATACTCATATTCTTACAGATATTGACATCAGCTAGAATAGCAGAACAGAAACTACATAACTCTCTTTTTGCTTCACTATTCACTTCATCAGACAGACTGACAGATATACAGGTGTTCGGACTGTAGGCAGACTGAAGAAACTACGCTGATGGAGCCAGAAGAACAGATATATGTCAACCTAGAGGAGCTGGGTGACTACAGAACTGAATACCATAGACCAGAGGAAACTGGTAAGCCTGTAAAATACCACTAGTTTACGGTGTTGTGCCATGAACTTATAGCTCATGTAGTTTTGAAGAAATCTGAAACAACCAATACAAATATAAAGACACAAAATGGAATCACTACTGTAAATACTTGGATTGTTTACTACTCCAAAAAGGATATTTTGGTGACACAAATGCACCATAGCAGTAAGGATCAGTTACAGATTTATCGGATTGTTTGGATTGAACTACACTGTAATACCTCACAGAATATATTAATAAAAGCAGTAAGATAACATAACTTAAAGGGACATTGTGTAGTGTTTTAAGTATTTTATTAGCTAAAATTCATAAATGTTTCTCATTGGTATAAAATTACCTCTGCCAATGATCTGACTTATCCTCGTAAGCGAAAAATTTCTTTTCTGTATATACATTGGACGGGCGTTTTCGTTCAGAGCCAGCGTCAGGTGACTGAAACCAGCTATAACGGAGAAGGAGATCAGTGAGAGGTGCTTGTCACTGCCCCGGCACATTTGAAAGTCTGTACTGCACTTTAGTTCATAATGGAGGATCAAACTTATGCCGAGCCACAGGAGAAGGAATCCTCGTCGCCAAAAAAGCGAAAAAGGGAATTAAAAAGGCAACGTGACCGGCAAACTCAAATAACGAGGGTAAACATCGGGGTAGCTTTTCCCAGGTGGAAAGAGCTAATGAAGGAGAAAGACTTTAAAGGGACGCTGAAGTTGCCTGCTTTCTCCTCGACAGGTAGGCTTCTTGGTACATAACGGCTACCGTAGAGCACTATTCGTTTGAATGCAAAATACAATTTCACCGCTAGATGGGAGAAATTCCTACACAGTGTCCCTTTAATACTCCAGAAAATTCAGTCACTCATTCCTATGAGTGAATTTCCAGTTCCAGTTGACTTTTTGTATATCATTACAAAAATGTAAACCCCAAAGCCCAAAATGAATTGGCTGCCATTTTGATAATCAATTAATTGCATTTTCTTTAAATCACATGCCAGCTGTTTAAATAAAAATAATTTTTTTATAATTATATAATTCATGTTTAAATTGTTGAGTTAATGTTCAAGTTCAAGGCAATCGGGTTCCTCCAACTGTTTAAATTGAACTAACTCATCAGGTTTTACAGTGTAATAATCATTAATAGTTGGTGGCAAGTTTTTTTTGGGCTTTTATTGCCTTTATGATAGAGATAGCTGAAGATAGACAGTAAGGGGGGACAGAGAGGGGGGATGACATGCAGCAAAGGGCCACAGGTTGGATTCAAACCCTGGGCCGCTGCAGCAAGGACTCAGCCTCGTTACATGTGTCACCAGCTCTACCCACTGAGCTAACCTGGCACCCAGTGGCAAGTATTATGATAATTGACTTATTTTGAAATAGTTTATACAAAAGATACCAAATATTCCCAATATTCTCAATTCAACTTTATTTATATGGCACCGCTCATACAAACAGTACTTCACCTAACAAGACTAAAAATAGATAATTTTAATAATAATACATCATCATCATCATCATCATCATCATCATCATAATATGAAGAAAAAACCGCAATAACATGATAAAATATTAAAATAAATAAGAAGTGATTTGTGTGCAGACACATCACGTAGACAGTAAAACCACAGTCTGTTTTCAGCCTCGATCAGAACATAAACATGTGATTGACTATCTAATTCTGATTTTGTTTCTGGAGAGAATTTGAGTTCGGTGTGTGTGTGTGTGTGTGTGTGCGTGTGCGTGTGCGTGTTTTCATTTTGCAACGTACTGTATATTTGAGGCTGCTCTACATAGAAATTATGCAAGAAACAAGAACCAGAATGCTCTTTAGCTTACAATATAAACATGCTAAGCTCTCAGAAACTCCAAAAGTCAGTTTTCTAAATATTTTACACCATCAGTCGAGTACTTTTGAAGTTGACATCTCAGTCATATAGTTCTGGTCTCTTTTGATTCAGGTTTTGAGGCACTGGTTTCATTCATCTGGTATGGGTATATGAGAGAGAACAGAAATCCAACTGCAGAATGGATGATTTCTATGTGACTTGGACGTCTTTTCTTGAACATATTGGTCAGAAATTGTGAATATTGCAATAATGAAAACTAGCAAACTGTCAATTTTTTGTTGGGGTTATAATATGGGATATGGGATACATCAATTAGTAATTTTGTATTCATATTTTTCCTTCTTTCTCCCTGGGTGATAATGTGTTGCATCACTCTTGATTGCAACATTTCTATGTACCGATATCTATGCTCTCACAGCACGTTCATGCAAGAGTGCAGTTGTATTCGGGTATGTAATGCACTAATGTATGTACACCATACTAATGTTGTGCCTTGCGGCCACCTTGATCTTCTTTAAGGTCTGCAGTAAAACTGAACAACTAACAGTTCTAAACAGGAAGGCACCAATGTATCAGAGTCATGTGTAACTTCTTCTACAACACTGTACACCTGCAGAAACCAAGCCTGTGAGAACTGATGCTGTGGCTGGGGAAGAAACTGAAACCTGGCCGCCTTTTAAAGTGACTACAGTTTGTCTAGGACTGCTGTGTCTCCTCCTGCTGACCACAGTCATAGGACTCGGCGCCGTATGTGAGTATTCAGAGAGAGGAAAGGTGTGTGTGGGGGGTGGGGGCGGGGGCTGAAAGAGGAAGAAGAGGGGGTACCATTTCAGGCTAAGAGACACTTGTGGTATGTACTGTATGTTCTGCTTTTTTTCTCTCCTTTCAGATGACAGAGACTTTAAACAACTGTCCAGAGACCTGGCCAATCACACAGCAGAGAAAGACCAGCTTCTGGTCAGATACCAGAACCTGACTGATGAGAGAGACCAGTTACAAACAATTCATGAGCTGAACAACAAACTCGGTGAGGATTCCCCTCTCACAGATGTATCAAATATACAGAAGAAATATAGACTACATTTGATAAGATATTGTTTGAGAAGGACGTAGCAGGCATACATAGTCTATATATTAAATGAACTCCAACCCCATTGAACCCCAAGAGCAACTGATCCATATAAGATATGTAAGGCACATTTTTCACAATATAATATTCTTTTTAAAAAGCCTCAATAGGAAAGTGATTTAGATGTTTCAGGAGTTTGGCCTATTTATTACTTTATTAAAAAAAGCTATATAGGATGTTTAATATTTCTGAAATAATACGATAAACCCATTAAGTAATCTGAGGTTAGTGTATTAAAATAGAAAAATCTGAAATTCATTGTCACTTAAGTCCTTCATAGATGGCCTATATGCCCAAGAGCTTTATTGCAGTATCATTTATTTACAGTGTTGGGTTAGATTACTTTGAAATGTAGTCAGTTACTGAATACAATTTTAGTAATTAGTAACATAATCTGTCAGATAACATAATAAATGTAATCTACTCTGAATTATTTTGCATTACTTTATAATAAAAAAATCCAATCTATTCTTTTTCTAATAAAACCTGAAAAAAATTAATGCAAATAAAAATCATTTTTAAATATTAATATATGGCAATTTATTGTGATGAAAACATGCTGAATATGCATTTTCTGTGACTGTGGTTAAATCAAATCCAGCTGCTGTTTTTTAATCCAAGGTCACAATAAATTGCCATATATTAATAATCAAAAATGTAATCAATAAAAACAATATAATAAAATGTGGGTTTTGGACAATTAGTCCAGTGTGTAACATTGAGGAGGATCTATTGTCAGAAAATAAATATAATATTCATAAGTAAGTAAGTTTTCATTAGTGTATAATCACCGGAATATAAGAATCATTGTGTTTTCATTACCTCAGAACTGTACATTTTTTATTTATCTATCCTTTAAATAGACACATGGCTACTCACATCGCCTCACAATGTTAACCACAGAAATGGCCCAACAAATAGTTGACCAATTCTTTAAACAAGCCTGGTTATGAGATATGTAATTAATTGTGCACCAGGCCTTAAAGCTGCTACATGTTTTCATTGCCTCACATATTCCACAAGGTGACCAGTGTGTGTTTCCTCAGGAACATGTCCTCATGGATGGAGGCAGTTTGGTTGCAGTTGTTACTACTTGTATACAAGAAAGAGCACATGGGCTAACAGTAGACAGACATGTTTGAGCCAAGGAGCAGACCTGGTGATCATTGACAGCCAAGAAGAGATGGTGAGGTTATGAGTGTGTTATAGACACCTTCTATCCATGTGTTTGAATGTGAAGTGATGGAATGATCTCCCCCTCTAAGGTGTTTCTGAACAAGCTTGGAGCTCGTTTGAAGTTTTGGATTGGTTTAAGTCAGTCATCCACCCATAGATACCTAAGTACATGGGCGTGGGCTAACGGAAGATCATTTGTGACCTCGTAAGTGTTAAAGGATAATTCCAGTCTTTTTCCATCCCTTTTGGAAAGTCCAGTATTGTTGTATATGCGTATAATGACTGATGTGTTCTCTCTTTATCTGTCTCTCTGTCTTTCCCTGGAATTTGAATGACTCTGTTTCTAGGTACTGGCAAAATGACCGCCTATCATATGACTACTACGGTGGAGGACAGTGTTGCGCAGCTTTTAACAGCTTTAACTCTAACTGGAGGATTAAGTCATGGAGTAGTGAGGTCTGTAGTCAGGTACTACAGTGGGTATGTGAGAAACAAGCTCAAATGTCCTTTCTGTCCTAGTAAATCTGTGATTTTAAGAGATCATATTTAACCCAGTAATGTCCACAATGTAATTTTATCATTTCCTTTAGAGTTGGTTCTAGCTGAGCTAAGCACAGTTCACAGAGTATGGGGCTAAGTCATTAGTGGCTACAGTGTAAGATATATTACTGTAAATTCACAGCACCTTACAGTAATTATTAGTAATATACATGAAAATCACAGTAATGTATTGTGTTTCTACAGTAACTGGTCACAATGTACAGTAACTGTAAAAAATACAGTAATTTAACGTGAAATTACAATATGTTATTATAATAATCATCATAGTTATAAGTTAACTATGATGTTGTAAGTTCACAATAATTTATAGTAATATTACAGTAATGTATTGTGTTTTCACAGTAACCGGACACAATATTACTGTAAAAACAAATTTCTTTATTGCTAAATTACAGAATGGTGCTGTAACCTAATCACAATAATTACTTGTGAACATTTTTACTGTATTATTACTGCAACTCAGTAGCCAGTATATTCCTGTAAATTTACAGTATGTGCATTACATTAAAATACTGTAATTTTACATATAAACTGTAGTTTACAGCAACGCATTGGCCCATATCACTGCACATATTTTGGTTTTTTAGGACCACATACACAAATATATGGGTTGCTTTTTTGAATTTTCCAGCAAAACACCTCCAAAACAATAAGTTAGGGGATTAAGTTTAAGATAAATTAGATCTTCATCATTTTTGATACACACACATTCTTGATTATGTGTTTCCACCTCCAACAGAATAAATTCTATGGGGCTTTTCCTGAACATGCTAAATGTAGTCATTATGCATTAGTGGGTTAAGAGAAAGGACATTGTACATAGCCTACCCAGTGCTGGATTCTACTGTTATATATAGTAACAATGATGACAGTGATGATGATGAAGTTCATCCCCATAAGCAATAAGAATGACAACAATAACATGAGGAAAGAAGGGGGGAAACAATAAAAATAATAATTTTGAAAGAGCCACTTTGGTCCAGACTGAAACATCTCATCAACTGTGTGCCATGAACTGTTGCACAGACATTCATGGTCCACAGTGATCAATCACACAGACTTTGGTGACCTGCTGACCTTTCCTGTACATCTAACTATTACATGGACATTTACATTTATTGCTATGAAATGCTACGGATATTCAGGGTCCCAAGAGGATTAATTATATTGACTGTGGTGATCCACATCAGGTCGAAATATCCACTTAGTGAAATATCTCAACAACTACTGGAGGTTCTGTTCCATTCAACATTCAGGATACTGCTGTTGTGCATGTTGGCTCACTGGAAAGACTCTGCTACACTAAATGGAACAGAACCTTAATTAGTATCACTGGTAATATGTATTAACTGTATTTACCCCAATATTTCATGTCAAAATGACTGCTGTGAAAATAGTCTATTGTATTATAATTTCCAAAATAAAACCACCTGAAAGCACTGTGTGTGTGTGTGTGTGTGTGTGTGTGTGTGTGTGTGTGTGTGTGTGTGTGTGTGTGTGTGTGTGTGTGTGGGCAGTGAAAGGGTGTAGTGTTCAAAGAGTGTCACCAGGGGGCAGGAGGGAAGTGTCTCTGCTGAGACCTCTTAAACTCTACAACAACTATCCAGTTTATAGTTGAATTGAAACATTCAGTAAGTGGCTGAGACCGCCTGTGGAATTTCCGGTCATTGAACTGTTGCTGCTGATCTTTTTCCTCACCCTTCCTGTGTTCTGTGGGTCTGTTCTTCTAGCTTCCTGCTTTCTTTGGAAAATTTGAAAGGCTTAAACTAAAACACAGACTTCCCTGTTAAAGGAAAAACATTCACACATTTAATTATGACACACATGCATACATTTCTTAATTTGATTTGTTTTAATTCAGCCATTTTAAATCAATAACAGAATTCTTGTATACTGCTTATGTGCTTTTGATGGGATGAGACATAATTTTCTTTCATTCTATACAAGTGACATTCATTTTTGTGTTGTTCTGTCACCATCAGCAGATATCCCTCCATATTGACTTTCCATGTTGGCCAATTTCCTAATTTGATGCCTATGGATAATTAACCATGGATTACTAAGAATTCATGCAAAGGAAAATGACTCTTTAAAAAAATAAATAGGATAGGATATAAAATGGGATATCTATATATGTAGGGGTGTATATATATATCAGTGGGGCAATAATTAGCATGCAGACATAGTGTATGTGCTATAGCTCTGAAACTTTCAACAAGACCAAAGGAAAACAATCTTTGTTAAACACTACAAGTTAAATTTGTTTAAATTTCAGCAAAAGCATTGTAGACTATCTTTAGACAAACACAACTGAGCCTGGAACAGACAACAACATCTGACTATAAATGCAACTGGAAACATCTTCGATTGGTTGTTTTCTTGCCATTAGGAGCACTAGGAGGAGCCAGAGGAGAGAGAGTATTTTTCTCATGTACTACCGTCAGGATATAGTGAAAGTTTCAGAAAATATACGAAAAGTTGTTTTATAAACATTGCCTACTGCAGCTTTAAGATTAGCTTTTGTGTCTACAAGGACATGATGTACTCTATGGGCGCTCCTTTGTATGAATGAAACCCATTTTAGTACATCAACAGCACCTACCTGCAGGCTATCTCACAAGAACAACAGATGGTAGTTACAGAGAGCTTTTCAACCTCTACAGCATCAAATTCTCCTACCATCAAATTACTTTGTTGCCCTCTCAAAAATAGTAAAAGAAATAGTTCCTTTTTTGGACACTGTAAAAAGAAGGAAAATATGTAGAATATAAAATGAACACACCACAGAGAGGAGATTACGTTAAGTGTAATTAATTTCAATAAGCGGCATTGTATTGTTTTACATTTTCCATCAGCATCATATTGTCTTTCACACTTATGCAGAGGAACATTGTTAATGCACCAGTTCTTCTTCTAAACAGGTAGGTAGGATGAATATCATCTGGCTCATAGATAGCACAAGGAGTCAAAGACATTTATTTATTTCAACACAAGGTCGATTAAATGATTTTTGAAATGCAGTACATTGTACACACATTGAAAAGATAAGAAAATAAATAACCATATATATGTTATTTATACATATGTACATACAATGGACCAATTTAAACAAATTTGGAACTTTAAACTCAAACCCAATCAGACATTATTCAACGATTTCTTTAGCAATAAAGCCGGAAAAAAAACATATTGAAATAAATGTAGCAAGTTTGAAGGAGCTACTGCCAGTGGTCTGCTTTCATACACCTACATCTTTAATACCTGAGAGCTTTGACAACACAGTTTGGTTTGAAATCGCTGTACGACCTTGAAATGTTTGCATAAGTTTTGTATTGCCTACAAACTGCGACAATATTGGAATCATTCTCGTGTATATGGGCAGTCCATTGTTTAGTCATGAACATGATCCGCAGTGTCTAACCTTCAGTATATGAATCAAGCATCCGATGAGCCTCTAGTTTATCATAGACTGTTGTTAGATTGGAACGGTCAGCAGGTTCTGATGAATCTGGTAAATGTGCTCCCTGCATGAGAAACACAAAGAAAGGAAGGAGCAATGGCATAGTTATTAAAGTGGGAGTAATTCTTACTGGAAAGTCAACCATCTGGCAGGAGGTGTGGCTATAGAGCAGTGGTTCTCAACCCTTCTCCTCAAAGGACCCCTTTACTATCACTGAGTAAAGTGACAACGCCTGACTAAGTGACATATTTATAGATATTTTATACCAATTCAAAGCATAACAATAACAGTACAGAGCAACTGATAAACTGTACAATGAACACAAATAGGGAACACCATAACATCACATAATAAAAGTAAATTTGGATGAGTTTTGAGCGGACTATTTCCTATAATCCGCTCAAAATAAATAAGAGATCATTTTAGAAACTTTTCATACAACTCTGTCTGTATTTGTTAGTTATTTGAATATTTATATATTTTTAACATACATACATACTTAATAGGCTTCTTTTTTGACAAATTTAGTGTTTTGTTCTCTCTGATGTTTAGCCATTAGAAAACTTCGCTTTTACTTTTCTTCACTGAAGTGAACCAAATGCTGAGTTATAGGCCACCTGAGTATATTTTTTTAAGTTTTCCTACACCCCTTAAAATCAAGAAGGCCTTGTGACTCCCTGTGAAGCTTTAGCGTCTAGTGGACAGGACATAAAAGTAAGATACAATATACATTAATGTGATGTGTGTGAATGTTTAACTGTACCTGTACAAGAAACAAAAACTGTTAATACATTTAATTGATCTGGTTGTGTTCTGTCTTTTGGATGATCAAACCATCTAAGCTTTGTAACGCTTGCAAATGTTAATGGAAATGTTTTTTGCTTTCCCACGAGACAGCTGGCTGGAATTTCCCCTCCCATCCCGCCTCCCTCAGTAAACATGATTAACTGTGCGTATAACCAAGCAAACACTGCTAATAAAAGCATTGCTTAGGAACAGGATTATCAATGCCATTAAACATCATCTGGGTTGTGTTTGAGTACCAACCTGACTCCCTCTGTCTCCCAATATCTGTATGTCAGTATACAGCACCTCTGTGTGTCTCTCTGAATCTACAAAGACATAAAGAGTAAGAGACACAACATTAAATCTTAACCTAAATAAATAATGAAGTAAAACTTAATTCATATGACACTTTTCAAAACTATGGTGACAAAGTGCTTCACAGTTAAAAATATAATAAAAATACAACAAAAGCCTCTAAATAAATAATTAAATCAAGGACTAGCAAAAATTGTTAAAGAATATCAGGGCAAGGCCTCAAAAAAAAAAGAATACATAGCCAGACAGCCACTTTTGACTGTCCATCACACTTCCACTCCAATACAGTCGGTGATTCAATACCAGTTTTCAATTCAGTTTACCAAACTAATCGCAATGAGAAGACTTTGAACTAAATATTCAATAAGCTTGGTTAACTCACAGTTTTCAGTACACACAGTAACTCACTGTGTTACACCGTAGTCGAACAAGAATACATTGCATTCCAATAGTTACGTTAGGAGACAAAACAATGGATGACTTAGTTCGAGCTGTTGTAATGGACAAAAATACAATGGTCGAGGTGACGGAAAGGAGCAAAAAAAAAAAAAAAACGATGATGAGAAATTGATGAAGGATAAGAACTGTTTGTAGTTGGCAAAGTTTTCCATTAGGGTACAGTGTGTAGGATTAGCGCAACTGGTGGTAAACTTGCAGATTGCAACTAACTGTAGAAATATGGCGGTTCAACATGTAGGATTCCATGGAAGGCAATCCACTCCCTCTATAGATAAAAAGGTCTCATTCTACAGTAAAGATAACACAATTTCTTGGTTGACTCAAAGGGTTTCATAGCTTGATGCCTCTAAATCCTACACACTGGACTGACATGTAAAGGGAGCTTAAGACAGGACCCAGGATTGACCCTTGAGGAACTCCACAAGTCAAAGGAGAACAACTGACAAATAAGAAGAAAACCATTTAAGAGCTAGATCCAGATATCCATACCCCCTTCATCAGACAAGCTAATGATATATGATGATCTATGGTATAGAAAGCAGTGCTTAAATCTACAAGAAATGGACTGCAACAAGATGCAGTTACTTAGACATTTTTCCTGAGCTGTGTCCTGAAACTAGACAGGAATTTGTTAAGTAAATGTTTTTTTTACATTTTGCTTGTTGACATCAAGGATTTTAGAACTAAAACCTTCACCGTCCGATGACCAAGGGAAAAGAAAGGATTGAACATAGGAGAAACAGTTATAGGTATATACAATATACCCCTCCAAATAAATATGAGGCCAAAACCATTTGTTTAATGTTTCCAGAGTGACAAATGTTCATGCACACACATCTCTATAGTAACTCTATCTGCATCATATGCTCCTTTTAGCGTCAGGAAAGCGAAGCTAGTGATCCAGTAAACGCTTAAATAAAACATCCTGTTAAGCAAACATACACAAACTAAACCAAGAGCTTGTGTGTGTGTGTGTGTGTGTGTGTGTGTGTGTGTGTGTGTGTGTGTGTGTGTGTGTGTGTGTGTGTGTGTGTTTTCAATCTGCTCTCAAAGTACACTAAGGCCTCAAGCAGAAGCTATCCTCCCACAGTCAACAGTTACAGAGCTGCAGTAACATTGGAATTTGGGAAATACCATGTGATAAATTACCCAGGGTATGTTGACATGTTTTCTCACTGTGTGAAAGAACGGGGGTTACTAAAACGAATGCAGATGGATGTGAAGTCTTGTTGCGTGTCTTATGTTTATTTTGGATGACTATGTAATTATTTGAACATTACATTTCTATGTATTTAAAGATAGACTTTTACATAGAAATTAACATCAGTTAAATTCAAGTCCTTGCCAAGCAAGGTCACACAATACTGATTAATCATATCACCGCCTGGTAAATTTCTCTGTATTTCATAGCCTTCCCAGAAGGCAGGAAGACGAGATGGCATAGATGCTGTGAAAATTAAAGAATAGGCAGGAAGCTGTGTGCTCTGTTTGAGACTGCCCTCACAAGCAAAATGACAGCATAGGCTGTTTGCTCAAATGTCTCAGGTGACGTCTATTTATGGTTACCTGACAATGACACTTGTGAAATATGATTGCGTGTCACGAGAAAGGTCAATGTAATGGGGGTGTTACAGCACTGCAAATCCACCACAAATAACACAGGTGACTCTGACACAGGTGATGTTTTTCATTCTGTTTCTTAAATCTAAACATTACAAGTTTAATGACTATAGGCAGGCCAGACTTCCCTCTGTTTTATGTTTTTATGTAGAGAAGAGAAACAGTTCAGGGATAAAATCACAGGAAAAAACAAAGATAAGGTGAACATCTAAAAAAATCATTCTGATTAGTAAGACATGGAAAGAACCAGAGAAAACCAAACTCAGGGAGGTTAGGTTCTTCAAAGGCCTTTTTAACAACCCAATAATGTCATGCAAAAGCAATTTATCACTCAGCTCAATTTACATTCTCACCATAGTCAAATGTGGAAAGTACCAGCTATTCCCTGATCACGCCATGGGACTGAATACAACAAAAAGATCCTCTGAGTTGACAAGACAGCAGGTATAAAGAGTATCAATGTCATTCCAGTGTCAGACGTTCACAGTAATACTGCAAGATGATACCAGCTATGCAGGTGATGCACAATCACTCACATACCCACAGCCAGAACAAAGCACACACTCTTCTCTACTTCAGCTGTTCTGCATGGAATGGTTACTGACACATTCAAAGCAGGTTATACAAACAAGAACCTAACAAATGATCTAATGAGGCCATAACAAACTGATTGATCCACAATGTTTCAATGCATGCATCTACGTCTAAAAGATCTCTATTTTATATAAAAGTATAGTCCTAGAAAAGTTTAGAGATAAATATAACAAAAACTATAGACAAATGTATGCATTCAACTGATTAAAGTGAGATTAAAAGGACAAATACCTGCCTTGTGTGTGTGTGGTTGTGGTCCTGTTTTTGTTCAAACTCCTGACGATTAAGGCAGCAAGTACAACAATCACAGTTAATATGATGGGGATTACAATTGCAGCCAAATCTGTCAAACAAAACACAGTTAGTGTCAATGACAAGGGCTTTTAAAATATAAGAATTTAGAATAAGAATTAGTCTTACATTGCCGTTTATTGTTGGCTGGGCTGATCTGTCCACTGCAGGTTGTGCTAACATTGACTAGAGCAGTCTTCTTTTCAGCAGGGTTGGCAGACACACATCTGTAAGAGGAGTTGAAATCCTGCTTGAGTACAGTGAGAGGCAGAGAGAAAGCGGAGCTGCTCTGGTTCACTATTTCCTCGTCTTTGTACCACAGCAGTGTCGTCCCTTCAGCTTTCTCCACCCAACACAGCAGGATGCAGCTCTCAGTGCTCACATTCACTGACTTCACTGCAGGAGGAGGGACGGGTTCTGGAGAAGAAAATGGTAGAGATTAAAAATGAGAAAATATGACTGAAAATTCTGTATGACTTAACTCCACTTATACTTTCTGTTCATAAATGGTAATGACTTTCTTTTTGTGTTCCTCCCAGTGAAAGTCAGCAGGGGAACATTTTCAGAATATTACTTTTTATAAAAAATAAAATGGTTGTGTGCCATAGAATGCAGCTTGTAATACTGGGTGCTCAGATATACATACATACACATAGCTACATTAAGGTGTGTTCAGACATTGAATTTGAAAGTCTTCCACAAGCCAGCCAGGTATATAGTGCCAAAGCTACGAGCTAGTCGCACAAAAATGGCAGAGAAAGAGCAGCCAGAATGTATGGTTCCACCTATACTTAGTTGGCACAGCTAAACACAGCGAGCAAAGAAACACAAAAATAGATAAGTCTACAAAAAAAAAAAAAAGGTTTGGATAAAGCAATAGGTCCGACCTGAGTGAACATCGATGTGGCTTTTTAACAATGGCGAGAACAGAGGGACAGGTAATTATGTTTGTTTAGTTTACTTTTGTTTTGGGGGCAGTTTGTCATTTACAATGTGGTATGTAGAACTGTGTATGAATGAGATGTGAGGTAAGGTAGGATATGTTAACTCCTCTCAGGCACTGCGTGTTCGTGAGTTGGGGAAATGGCTTTGGAGGGGTTTTGATGAATGCTTTCAAATCTAGCCTCTTTGTTTCCATGTTACCACCCTGTTTAACAATATTAAAGTTAAATGTTTTTTTATTTATTGTACAGGCACTGTAATAGTTAGTTATAATAAAATCCTTTTTAAAATGTCAGTTTTCTCAGTGGAGTTTGGAGTCATTCCATAATCTAAACACATGCTATTATAAATTTACATGTATCTCCTTTATGTCTTTTAATTTAAGGCCAAAATGTAATTTCCATTTCCATGGTTATGGAACAATTCCCTTAAATAAACTTGAATTAAAATATTCAAACTGTTACTTTTGAATATGAGAGCAGAAGAAACATTTAGGGTTTCATTTTATTCAGTTAAGGATCAAATTCAGCTGTTTAAAATCACTGATTTCATAATAATTCAACTTTATTATTTATGAGTAGCCTGTATAATTACGAATTAACTAGTGCTAGGAAGGGTATAATGCTTTTACAAATTTAAAGTTTCCATTCTTTAATTCAATACGTAATGCCGTGGTGAGTTTAGATTTTGACACTTTGAGTTTTTTTTTTTTTTTTAAATATGTATGTATCTTTTGGGCTTTTTGCCTTTATTTGATAGGACAGCTAAAGAGTGATAGGAAAGGCTGAGAGAGAGAGGGGACAACACAACGCAAAGGGCCACAGCTCAGATTCAAACCCATGTCCGCTAAAACAAAGACTCAGCCTTTGAAAAAAAAATTATTATTGCCTGCAGTCTATGGCTAAAATGGCAGCTTTGGGCCCCCTTAGTTGCTTTAGGGGCCTTATGCAACTGCATAGTCTACATATAGCAAGAAACAGGTCTGGGAGGCGATTCGCCTGCATCCACCACTGGACTTTATGTAATCCTTTAGTTTCTTTTAAGGCCAATTTATAAGCTATCATTTCCTTCAGTATGATATCAATTAATGAGAAGTCAATGATGGCCATCATTTTTGATGCAAAGTTTGTAGGCTAACAGTAACAACTATATTAAATAAAACAGTTACATTATCAGAAGACAAAGCCAGTTACTTGCTTCAATTTTGACAGAAAGTAACACATGTGAAACAAGTGTTAAGTTTGTGGTTCCACACATCCTACTGTTTACACATCCTTTCCAAGAAATGTTCTCCAACCTTCTAACAAGGCCATTTACTCTTTTTATGAGCAAAACCTGAGAAAAATATCTATCAACAAGATGCAGACACAGAGAACCAGAACAATAGAACAATAAAAAGGTTTCCAAATACACAATTTAAGAGTTCTGAAGTAATGTTCTGAATATTAAACTTTATTTGGTTGATTTTATTTTGTTTAAAGGTCCAGTGTGTAACATTTAGGAGGTTTTATTATCAGAATAGGCAAGTTATCTACAAATGCTGCGCATCGCCTTCCATGGTGACCACCAATGTAAACCACCATGTTTCTACAGTAGCCCAGAACATGCAAACCAAACTCTGACTCCTGATAGGGCCGTTCATGTTTTCATTCACGTTTCGAGAAACCACAGTCAGTTGGAGGGGGAGTGGGAAGCGACTACCTACACTTCTTTTTTCATATTTAGTCACATTTTCCTGGCCCTTTGTCATAGATACATTCATATAAGACAACCAGAAAAGGTAGATGTTGTCATTGTATTTCTGTTTCTTTTTCCTTGCCCTGACCAGTGGTTCCCAACCGTTTTCCATAAAGGACCCCTTTTCTATCACAGAGTATATATCGATATTTCATATTATATTCAAATGTGAGGAGTTGAACCTTATTTTACCAGTAGAGTGCCGTTAGTTCATAACGGGTAAATGGGCTCCTGGTATTGCTGTTTGCAGCGTTGCCCATTGGGAGTGCTGTTAAAATGCCTGTTTGGAATTATTCCTTCATAGTTAGATGATGATACAGTGCCATCAACTAGTCTCACTGACCTACCACATACACAATCATTGTATGTATAATCAAATGTAACATATGTTGTTATAGTGCCAACAACTGCACCAAATTCAGCACTGCACTCCCACGGATCGTCAGCATTACACCCACCAAGTCTGAAGTTGATAGGATGAACGGCTCAAGAGCTATGCAGAGACTTTTGCCTCCCAGTTCCAGTAATTTACAGAAACTGACAACAAAAGTGACTAAATTAAGCCTTTACCTTCTGTAAATACATGTCTGAAGAAAAAGGTCATTACTGTGGGTGGCTCCATCAGCCGGTACCAGGGGGCACTGCCTCCCAACTTCAGTCACCAACACCGATAAACAGAAACAAGTTTGTGGCCAAGGGTTAATGAAGGTTAGCAGATTCTCCTAACACTCCTCTTAATGCTACATCCTTCTGGGCTGACGGTGCTGTTGGGCCTGACACCCCTATGGATGATGTAGGAGAAAATATGCCGAAACAGGTCAATCTGCACCCCTAACGTACAAGTAAGAAGAGATATTTTCTTGCTACCTGCTACCAGACGGACTGGCTGGAGTACTCCATGAAAGCGGATGTGGCTTTCTGTCATCTGGATGCATTTCAGTCACTGTAAAATATACATGTTCTTCTATTTAATTACCTAACTGATTTCACTTCCTGTTTTGAGTCAGAATAATAGAAAGCAATGACTAAAGACTAATTTTGTGATTTCTTCTTTAAAGTTTCCCCTTACAGAAAAGAAACACATGATCTGTGAAACATGGTTTAAGAACACTTTTGTGGTATCATGTGTGAAGCCCATGCAAAATTCTCATGTGATATCTTTCTACATGTGATCACTTGGGAAACATGGGACATTCAGTTTTTTCTGTAAGGGGGAGCATACCACCAACTGGTCTCACTCTGACTGTGCACCACTACGTTCCCTACATTGGTGGAAACAACTCAGACACGCATTCTTTAGTTTTGCTCCCAAAAGTATTGGCCAATGTAGCAATATCTCTTCCTACAGTATGATATCACGAGAAGAACATTTTTGATGCAGTTTGTAGGCAAACAGTAACAACAGGGTTAAATAATCTTTAATATAATCAGAAGGCCAGTTCCTGCTACAGTGTTGACAGAAAGTAAACCCACACATGTGAAACAAGCGTTATGTTTGTGGTTCCACATGCTTAAATGTTATCTAACCTTCCTCAGTCTAACACTTTTATATGAAAAGGATGCATACACAGACAACCAGAACAATAGACCAGCACATTCACAGCAGCAATTTACCACATACGCATCACTGTACTGCCTCGTTGCCATAAACCAGCATAGTCCAGCATAAACATTAATTCATGTTGATTAAATAAATAATTTAAAAAAAAACACGACTGACTAATGATGGAAATGAAGAGACCTGCAACAGACTGTTAAATTAAAAATGAAAAACTAATGAATGCTATTATGCGCAAACTAGCTTAACATATGCCTGTTTATCCATTACCTCATTAATAATTCAACAATGATTTGTTTTGCTCAGCTGAGGATGGCTCTACCACACATACATAAATACTGTCCTAAACAATAACTACATAAAAGTCTCTGGAAAACAGTTACAGGTTTCTGTTACAAGCACCTAACGGCGAGGGATCCAGTGGGAATTCCTATCCCACCTGAATGCACCATAAAACACTGACACCTGTCTCTATATTGAAACTAACTTTATGACTAACTGGTGGTTTGGCAAAGTTCAAAGTGGTGAAGCTGTTTAACAAAATTAGGAATTACAAAATAATAATAATAATAATAATAATAATATTCTGAATATTAAACTATTTGGTTGGTTTTATGTTGTTTATAACCTGCTGCTATTAAAGGATGTGTAACATTTAGGAGGATCTACTGAACAAAAACTCTACAAAAATTAAATATAATATTGTTTATGCTGTAGATAGGGCTGTTTTTTGTTTTTTTTTACTTAAAAAGTTGGATGGTCAGTTTACCCCCCATATGGCTCAACTCATATGGCCCCTAGTTGCGCCACAGGTACACATTTAAGTCATATTTTCTTGGACCTTTGTCACAGACACATTCTTATACAACCACCAGAAAGGGTAGATGTTGTCATTGTATTTCCGTCTCATTTTCCTTGCATAGAGGACAACATCAGAAAAAAATGGCTCATCTTAGCAAAAAAGTTACTGAACTGAGTTAACTGCAAAACGTGCCCACTTGTTCACATGTAAGCTAGACCAAAAAACATAAAATGCCTCTGTATTCATGTAAAGTGCAAGCATACTGTAGCTAACAAGTTAAAACATTTTAGTTTTGTTGGTGGAGCTAGTCAGTGTCATGCTTAAGTGTCGCCATGGTGATTCTTCCTCTAAGATTCAGGAAGTTTATCTATGATGGTGATGCCGTGTGAGCACACCAACACCTGACCTTTTGCACATGCACTACACAAAGGTCAAGCTGTTGGTGGCTGTCCAATGAATACATAGCCTGGGCATGCTCACATCAGTTAGGATGAAAGAAAGAGGGCAAAGTGGGTTCAATTACAGTATAAATAAATAAAAATAAAAAAATAGTTTGCAGCATGAGTAGTTAACGACACAAAAATGGCAAAAAGGTATTGAATCACTATAACTGAACCTTTTTGTAAACATGAATATAGTTGAACTACCAGCAAGCTACTGCAAAATGTAAGTTTACATAATTAAAGTTGTGTAAGCAGTCTCCCACAGAACCCACAGAGCAGCAGCAGGAGCTCTGATTGGCCACCGGTTATGTGTTGGCAAGAATCTGTCCAATCAGACTTCCTGTTTCCTCTCTGTGGGCTGAAGCATCGTGTAACGGAAACTGCCAATTCAAAAAGCAGGAAACTGAGATGGAATATGGTAGGTGACACATAAAGATAATAGATGTCAAAGGAACATTTTGTCTTTTAAAGATTTATAAACATCATTAATTCTAGTGCAATACTTACATTCATTCTAATGCAATAATCATTGTGCAATAACACACCTCACTCTAGAATCATAAAGCACAGAAGTTACTATGGAGATTGGAGATGGAAACCAATGTGTCCAAATTACTTAAACCTGGTTCCTCAGCCTGGTTTGGCCTACATGAAACCTATTAAGCCTGAATGCTTTAATTCAGGATAGGTCAAGCCTCACAAGTCAGGTTTAAGTAATTTGGATAAATGCACGTTCACAGCTCCCACAGAGTTGATCACAGGTTTACTGATGTTGAAATGGAATAAATGTCATATTAAACCCTGAAACTTTACAAAATGCAAACTTATGTAAAGCATAGGCCTATCTTGTGTTTGTGTGTGTGTGTGTGTGTGTGTGTGTGTGTGTGTGTGTGTGTGTGTGTGTGTGTGTGTGTGTGTGTGTGTGTCTGTGGTAGAACAGAGAGATAAAGCGGGGCATATAATATCAGACAGACTGTTACTAACATTCATAGGCTACTAACAACTGCTCTTAACTGAAACCATCACAATTATAGCATTTAAGGGGGTACCTGCCCTTTGCACAAATGAACAGTTGTATACTTTGCCTTAAAAGCGAATAGTGGAGGTTAACATGTTAATATGTTACTCAGGACATTAGTTTGTTGTTTTATGAAGTTATTTTAGAAACAATCTTTGAAACATTTTTGAGTATGTTAAATATATAAATGTGATTTTTGAAGTGATGAAAACTTTTATGTTTTATGTTTTTTTCTGTCTTTTATGCTTTTAATGGATACTAACAGCCAGAGGTAGACAGGCATGGGGACAGAAAGAGAGAGAGTGGATGTATGCAGCAAAGGGCCACAGGCTGGCTGGACTCAACCCCTGGCCACTGCGTTAAGGACCTTGGTAGATGGGGGGCACACTCTACCCGGTGATATAGGGGCGCACAAAGTGATGAAAGGTTTTTTACTTATTCGCTAGCTGCGGCTTTTAATATCAGAGGCCTCTATATATAGTGTTCATGAACACAATATAACAGTAACAATATGACAGGAATAATTATAAAATATCTTTGGTCACAATGTTAAAATAATAACAGTAGGCTACTTAACTGAATGTCAGTAGTCCTACCTGTGGTATTTCATTGTTCAAATAATAACAGTAGTATGCAGCCTACCTGTAGTATTTAATACAGTCTAATAAAAATAATGCAAATACAGACGTAAGAACATGAAATTAGTGTAAAAAACATATTGGATAAGGCACGAGGATTCATCAGACCTGGTTGATAGCCTGGTCTGGCTAGCTGATCAGAATAACTTAGAACATAAACTTTCATGAGACCAAGTCATGGCTGAACTCAGCCAGGATAACTGGAAAATCCCAGCTTAATCCACTATGTTAGTGGTGGGGTGTTCTACATGAGTTCTACAAGTTATTATAGGTATTGTATGTTTGAAGTAGTCGAATACAAGTCTATGGTTATAAAGCAGACAGTGATCAATAATAATCCATGCCTTCATCACCTCCAGAATCGATTTCTGCAACAGCATCCTGTACGGCACACCATCCAAAACCTTAAATAAACTCCAGTACATCCAGAACTCTGCTGCTCGTCTGCTCACCCACACCCGCACTCGTGACCACATTACCCCAGTCCTCCAGGGCCTCCACTGGCTCCCAGTCTCTCAACGTATTCAATTCAAAATCCTCCTCCTCACACACAAAGCCCTCCATAACCAGGCCCCTTCCTACCTCACTGACCTGCTGCATCGCCACAATCCATCCCGTAGCCTCCGCTCATCCGATGCAAACCTCCTGACTCCACCACCCAGGACCAGAAAAATGCACCTTCAATGCCCCTGACTTTATAGTTTTTCAATTGGTTGACCTTTAACCTGTCACTGGGTATGAATGGGTTAATTCTTCTTTTGGATCATTTTACAAACACGTCACATATAAAAAATATTCATACTTTCATGTTACAGACTGATATCCTGCCTGTTAGATTATTGGTGTCAACCGTCGAGCACTAAAAGCCTTAAGGAAGATTTTCTTGTTTCTTGCTATCAACTATAGTTTAATGTAGAAATATATAGAACTATTTTTTGTTTTATTCAGGCACCATGCCAACCGTTTCATATACGACAATGTAGCAGGAACATTCCTATAAGACCTTTTATAACAGGTTTTTGTAATATTCTCATGTAAAATTTCAATAAAGTTTATTTTTTTTAAAAAGACTTAGACAGTAGAGATCAGAAGACATCTGTGGGACCATGATAACTGGTAGAAACTGGTAAAAAAGTAATAACCAAAGGTAAAAAATATGACTCACCATACACTGTGAGTTGATAGGTTGTAGTGGACGCGATTCCTGTTTTAGGGTCAATAACATAAATCCCTGAGTCGTTCCTCTGCAGTCCTGTGATTGTAAACAGTCCAGTGCTTTTGTCCCACAGAACTTTGTCCTTCAAAGTTCCCTCATATATCTTGGAATTCCCGTTAATCACCATAGCAACAGTCTTTCCTCCAAAGAGGAGAAATCCCTCCTTCACCACAGGGTCAGGTAGAGTGATGGATCCTCCCTCAGTGCCTGTCAGGTTCTTCACTTTCTCAGTAGCAGATGAGCTTATCACTGTAAAACACAGAGAGAAACAACAGTTAGCAGAGATGTACAATGTGGAGCTGACCCACTGACAGTGAATAATAATTATCACAGCCTTATACAACACTGTAGGCCTACCCATGTGTATAAAATTTCCACAGAGATCAGTAGAGAGCCACACATTTTCTCTCCTTCTGATACTGGATGTTTCAAACTAAACATTTACAATAAATGCATCTTAGATATATTTCAAAGGCACAAACAGAGTTAAAACTTTCTTGATGAAACAACATTGCAACAAACAGCTCTGTTACACTTTGACTTGTAGCTGCAGCCACAGCGGCTGCAGGGTTTTTGCATTATGTTTGTTTCTGTCACACCTACAACCACACTGGGCACGGCTAAAGTCTCTCTCTCCAACCACCCACCTAGAGCCGAAGGGGTCTGTCCTAGGTTTCTGCTTCTTAAAGGGAAGTTTTGCCTGCCGCCATCGCCAAAGTCTTGCTCATGGTGGTACTGTTGGGTCTCTGTAAATAATGTTATAAGGAGTTCGGTCTAGACCTGCTCTATTTGAGAAGTGTCCTGAGATAACTTCTGTTATGAATTGGCGCTATACAAATAAAATGTAATCGAATTGAATTAAAGCACCAAACACTTTGTTTTCTTTGAGCAGGACACATGATGTGAAGTATGTGTCAATGCTACTCAGGCAGCAAGTACCATAAATGCCATTATTGGGCTGTTTGATAGCCCAACGCAGAAAAATGCACCTTTAATGCCCCTGACTTCATAGTTTTTCATCTGTGTGACCTTTAACCTGTCACTGGGTATTAAGGGGTTAATTCTTCTTTTGGACCATTTTACACACACGACACATATAAAAAATATTCATACTTTCATGTTACAGACTGATATCCTGCCTGTTAGATTATTGGTGTCAACTGTCGAGCACCCTGGCTCTAACAGCCATAAGGAAGATTTTCTTGTTTCTTGCTATCAACTATAGTTTAACTATATAGAAATATATAAAACTATTATTTGTTTTATTCGGGCACCATGCCAACCGTTTCATATACGACAATGTAGCAAGAACATTCCTGCAATCTATAAAGTGGCCTTAATCCTTGCATGTCATACACAAAACTCACATTTAACATTCCTTCATTCATTTAAATTAGAAGTATCAGCAACATCCTGAATGCTCACACACAATAATCACACATAGGCTGACAACAATACAATATAAAAGCAGCACACATAATTATGTAACATGTACAGACCAGGGCTGCATCAGGGTGGGAACTACAGGGGAGCCAGGGTGAGCTCCTCTTAATAAGACATGAGCTCTCCTGAAAACATGGCTTATGAAATTTCGGGGGGATTTAGCAGGTTTTTTTTAGGATTGTTGCTGCCTAAAATGACTGATTTCACGACAACCTTTCTAGAAAATTGTGATGCATGTTGTTTTCAGGCATTTTTTGCAATAAAACTGCAGGAGAAAGTGAATACATTTCTTCAACACATCTGCATCTTCAACACTAGAAACGAAGAAGTGAGTTTGGTGATATATGACTCAACATTTTGTGCGGAAATACAATGATTGGGCAAATTTGCGGAAACGTTGCAGTGACTGGACAATAACATAAGACAATACAAAATTCACAGGGATTGGTTGATTTTGCGCTAATTGCTGCGATTGAAACATCCTGGAATGACTGCAATGTGCTACTTTTGGCATGCCTTTCTATTTTTCTGCATCTCCACCATCATGGATTATGTGTGAACTTGCTGCTATTGATGTATGATTTGTGCTTGAGGGTGACTCATCAGTAATTGACTTTAAAAAAGATACTGCTGCTCTTGCCATCACCACTGAAGCGTGACAGCTCAATATCATTAAGTTCAGAAAATCAGAAAATATATCCTCTTGTGAAGGAAATAAAAGTGAGCTCCCTTGAAAGCCGTGGTATAGTTTGCACACTGGGCAGCATCATATGATAAAAATATCATATTGCAATTATTTTGACAGATATTGCGATATGCTTCACAATTATTGTCATTTTTAAAGAAATATTAAAACCATGACGATGTGACATTTTTTTGGGGTCTGTAAAAATGTTTTTTAAACTCTGGAGAACAAGATTTGTAGGTCAGGGCATCTCTGCAGCACTTTACAACTTTATTATAAGTGTTTTTTTTTTTTGGTTGTTGCTTTTTATGCCATTATTTGATAGGACAGGTGAAGATGCTTGGTTTGAACCCGAACCAAGGACTCAGGATACATGGGTCGCACTTTACCGTGCACCCTATTATAATGCTGTTTTAACACACAGTTTTTTTAAAACTGCTGCTTCTGCAATTTGCATATTACAATTTTGATAATATTGTGATTTACTGTGCAGCCCTAGTGCAGACAATGTTGACAGGAGAGACAGACACACACTCATGCACACAGAGAAAGAGAGAAAGAGACAGAGAGACTGTTTACTGTATTACTGACGGTAATACTCACAGTAAAAGGCAATAGGGGAACAGAGTTCAGTAAGCTCAATATACAGTACTGCTTTGTCATTCAGGGACAAAAAGTACCAGACTTCCTTAAAAGATGGAATTGTTGAGTTAGGGGAAACATTTTGTGAGACAGTGTTTATGTCAAATTCTTAATTATTCATCCCATCTCGTAAATTCGGCAAATACCTAAAATTCCAATTTCTTTGTTTTCTTCATTTGTCTTTTGGCAGTGTGGGAGGAATCCTTGTGTTTTGGAGACTTTAGCAGCAGCCAGTCTTTCTTTCATAATGACTTCTTGTGACCATTATTCACTTAATGAGCTGGCTTTCCACCCATGGATCTATTCATTTCCACCATTTTGTTTTCCTCTTTAAATCCTAAACTCTGGGCCTTTAATATACAGCAGTAGCCTCTATTGCAGTATGTTAATATCTATAATATGAATACTGAACTTAAACATCTTCTCCAGACGTATTAAGACATAAAAATAGTCTGCTTGGGACAATTATGTGTGTTTTTTTCACAAAAAAATAATTTACACATTTAAATCTTTAAAAACTCCTTATACCTCATTAAATATTCCAGAGAGTGCGTGCCTTAACCAACGTGCTCGGTCTGACATTTACTGACAGGATGAAAGGTGCTTTTACCTTCAATATTTGCATATTGTTTTTCCCTGTGGAGTCCTTATTTGCCCTTACTGCTTATTCCAGGAGCCAGCCCCAATTAAACCTCTATTGGTGCTGTGTATTGTATGAATGAAAGACCAGAGTAAATTCATATACAGTAATTCAGCAGTGCTTAAAAGACTGATAGCCTTCAGCCATCTTCTATGCTGTGGTCTGCTGGAGAGGGGGCAGTACGGACAGGGACAGGAAGAGACTCAATAAACTGATCAGGAGAGCCAGCTCTCCATAGAGGAAGTGGGTGAGAGGAGGATGTTAGTGAAGCTGACATCCATCATGGACAACACCTCTAACCCCCATATGACCCTGTGGGGTCCCTGAGTAGCTCCTTCAGCAGCAGACTGTTGGAGAAGGAGAGGTTCCACAGGTCTTTCATCCCTGCTGCTGTCAGACTCTACAACACCTGATCAGTGTTGTAGTTACCGTACCATAGCTTTACCACTTTACCATAGTTTTTTTTATATCTGTATTTATTTATTTCACGTAAATGCTGCTGTGACAAGGGAATTTCCCCGTTGTGGGATTGATTAAGTAATAAAAGAAAAGAAATAAATAAATGTTGTCAGTAAACAGTTGGATGGAAAAACCCTGCAGTGTTTTACGAGCTGGTTGCTATGACATGTTGATCTGCCAGTAGCCCAAAACAGACAAACCAATCACCGGCTCCAGACAGGGCCTTTTGTCCTTTTTGCCCTTTTTGCCTTTTTTGCGTGTTTTGCTGCCACCATAGTTTCTCCTACACGCTTCACAGCCCATTCCCCATTCCCAGGTCGTCAAATACAGACACCAGCAGTGTTCAGTTAGTTGAAATCTGAACCTTCATCACTAGATGCCACTAAATCCTACACACTGGTCCTTTAAAGCAACATTATGTAATGTTAATAGTAGTAATTCAACAGGCACTGTGTACAGTAAACAGTTGGGTGGAAAAACTCTGTTGTCAGTCAACAGTAACTAGGAGGTTTTCTTAGTGCCTTAGTTTAAGGCTAACATGTCATGCAGAATAAGGCATTTATACACGCTTTATAATGACTAATAATAACTTTTTTAATATAGTTTTTGTTGTATTGTTAGTTTTAGGATTATTTGTCTTTCTTTGTCTGATGGTGGATCTATTGGCAGAAATAACCTCTACTATTCTTACTTTGGGTTAACACACTGCAAACTGAACAAGTCTAAATAGTCTTTCATTGAAGTCACAGCGTGAGAGAATGCTTTTAACACACTGAATGTATCTTTAACGTCATGTTTGTGCAAATCCAGAGAACGTAAAATTTGCATCTTTACATAACTTGTTCGGTTCAATTCGAGCTTTAATTCTAAACATCAATCGATCAAAATATTGTGAAAACTTAATTTCACAAATAACTTTGCCAAACGACTATCAACCGTCAACAACTGTCCGGACCTCTCTGTGTCTCATACTGTGTCAGTGCAATCAGCACTGTTTAACTGAATGACTCTCTCATTACTCTCTCCCTCTCTAGTTTCAGACATCCAGCGAGGTGAGGTGGACAAAGTTTATCAGTCATTTTGTTCAATACTCACAAATAAAAAGGAAAACAATCCGCATCTGTTCGTCCATCGCAGACTTAAATAGAGACAGAGAGACATCACGGTATGATCCTGTCTGTTCCGACTGCAGTTTTCTGACCGACACAAAGATTGTTTAGCTCCTCCCAGAAAAGACAACTTTTAACTCCAGATATATGTAGAATATGTCACAGACATGGGAAAAAATACATAATTGTATTTTATAAACCCAACACCTCCTATACCGGATTGAGATTAAAAGCTGCGAATGGGGCAGTAGCATGACTTTGAAGGCATTCAGCCATACATGAAACCTACTGTGAAGATGGAGAAGGGTGATGTTAACAATTACAGGCATTACTTTTTATCCTCTTCGGAAAGAAGATCCTCTGCTACTTCTGGCTCTTTAAATGCCGACTGCAGGTTTTTACAGACGATGGACAATAATAATAATAATAGTAATAATAATAATAATAAGTTAAATGTTCTTTTATTGATCCTGCGTAGAAATTTAAGTTAGACACAGCAGCACAGGGGAATGTAGTACAAAAGTCTAAAAGTACAATAAGAATAAAAAAATAAGAATATTAGTAAATATAAGACTATAAATGGAAAATATATACACCATATGTAATATGCAGTAAAGTGGTGTGCAAAATATTTTGAGCAGTGTATAACTAAAAAACTAAGCTGTACATAGATAAGATAATAGTTTGTGTGTTTAACCAGTCTTAGTCAGTGGGGGTGGGAGGTACTGGGAGCTGTGGCGTTGTGGAGTCTGATGGCCGATGGTACAAACAAGCCTCCAAACCGCTTTGAGGCTCGAGGCTGAATCAGTCTGTGGCTGAAAGCGCTCCTAAACAGCCTCAGCTCATTGTAGAGGATGAGAGGTGATAGAAGCTTCCCTCTCATCCTCTTCTCAGTCACAGCCTCCACCCGGTCCAGTTCCATCCCCACCACCGAGCTGGCCTTCTTCACCAGCATACTCAGCTTGTTGGCACCATAGGTCCCAATGCCTCCTCCCCAGCACACCACAGCAAAGAAGATGACACTGACCACTACAGACTGGTAGAACATCTGTAGTAGCCGAGTGCACACGTTGAAGGATCTGAGCCTCCTCAGAACAAACAGCCTGCTCTGTCCTTTCCTGTAGAGGGCCTCAGTGTGATCCATCCAGTCCAGTTTATTGTTGAGTGTCACCCCCAGGAACTTGTAGGTGTCCACCATCTCTACCTTCTCCCCCCTAATCGCAACTGGGGAGGGGGTCCTCTTGGTCCGCTGGAAGTCCACCACCAGCTCTTTGGTTTTTCCTGTGTTGAGCTGTATGTGGTTTCTGTCGAACCATCCAATGAAGTTCTCGATCAGGTCTCTGTACTGCTCCTCCCTATCATCTGTGATACAGCCGACAATGGTGGAGTTATCAGAGAACTTCTGTAGGTGGCACGCTTCGGAGTTGAAACAGAAATCAGAGGTGTAAAGGGTGAGAGAATCAGTGACAATACAGTTCCTTGGGGTGTGCTGGTGCTGTGCAGCCTGACATATTGTGGTCTGTCGGTGAGGTAGTTTGTAATCCAGGCCGCTGAGTCTGAGATTTTAACAGTTCTTACAGAGCAGTTCTTGGACAGAGGGAGGTTGTGTGGGAGAAGGAACTGCAGCTAAAGCAGACTATGGTTTTATGACCCATAAAATGTCTGCCGATTAGGAGGATTATAGACCAATCTAGTTCTGATTGAATTTCTCAATGTACATTGCAGTTTTGGCAGCTAAGGACTTAATACTCACGAAAGAGAGCCACCATAGGAGAGCATGATCTGATATTACAGCCAACGGTATCAAGCTCTTCTCTACGTTGCGGACACTTCACATATCGTGTCTCTAAAGATGCCAAAAGCAATGTTGAGTGTTTTACAATCTGGGATAAACTATCTTCCAGACCTATGAAAAAAATCCACAAAAAACCACATTACAGAATCGTCACCAGATTAACGTACTGACGTTAACGGACTGATGTTAACGGACCGACCCTGAGGTTCGGGGATGAAGCAAATATCTTCCCCTGAGGACAGAGACTCACACTCCGAGTCAGAGAAAGGAAGACATAGTGACCAAATAAAGCCGAAAGGTAGGATGACAGTCGCATTAGCAACAATGGTCAGATCATTAACTGAGAAAGCTTACAGAGCAGAACCTTAAGGAGGAGAAGGATACAGAGAGTAATGCAATAACTCACTAACATCCTCCAAGAGACAATTTGTGGTACAGCACAAACATATTATCGACACATTAAAAACACACACATCAGATAAAAAACCCCATCATCATTGAGATTATCATCCTCCCCATGGAAACCCTTTTTTGTTTAATTAAGTTATTGCCATGGGTATAAATAAAAGCTCCAGCCAGAACAGGATGTTACAGTTTAGAGTTAATGTTAGGTACAAAGCCACCAGGGAGCCTGTATTTGCAGTAATAGTTGGCACTCAGAGCAAACACATGCGTCCTGCTTGATTTCCTGAACATGAAGCTCTTATAAAGTTGAGAGTTGAAACAAAATAACAATTCCATGTTCAACATACATTTATTCTATAATGATATATAAAAAATGAAAAAATATTAAATGAATATAAGGGAGTCAAAATGGTAGCATCAATAAAACAGTGTCAATATATAGGCAGACCAAAAATAGGCATAATCAGTAACAAATGTCATATGTAGGCTGGTTATTTTCTTGCACAGTAAGTTAAAGAAAACTAGTTAATGTAGTGAGATAAGAAGATGGAGTCCTCGACCCTAAAGTAAGATATCAGGGGTTGTGATGTAATATTATTTTCACAAAGTAAAACACACATCAGATACTTTAGAAAGACTTTTGTGGCACATTGGTAGTGGCTCTCTTCTACTGTAGGACAATGGCTTAAGATGTTGGTCCATTATGATTCTGCACTTCCACCTTTTAGGTTTGGTGGCCTCACTGGGGTCAGAGTTTATATGGGGGGTGGGCAATAATAATGTGCAGGTAAATATGCAGTCTGTAAATAACTTTTTGACCTTGTATCGTAGGAAAGAATCATGCTTTACAGTTTAAAATATCAAACTCTTGTACAGCTGCATTTGAAGAACCACCCTCTGCAGACATCAAGCATGCAGCACGGCGTGTTCTTGTGGTTGAGAGCTGTCTGTCACTGAAGGAAAAGCAGATACCTCTTCCTGTTGTGCTTGAACTAGTTAGATCAAAGAGCTGCACGGTTGCTGTCCAGCCATTCCAGCCATCTGTTCTACCACATCCTGACCTGTATATGAGTTAATGCACACCAGAGAGAGCATCAACCCACGACAATTACACGTAGCTCGTTTCATTTCCACAGAAACTGACCACAGAGGAAGGTTCTCTGTCAGTTTCTCACACTTACAATTGTGTGTATTGTTATACAAATAACCACCCAGTTTTAGAACTGAAAGCATCTAACCTGTAAGTCTATTCAAGGACTGGACATTTGCAAGTATGATACTGGGTTGATAATGGGCCTGGGATTTTGGTCTACTTTGAACTCCAACTTGCCTTCCTCTGTATTTCTTCTTATGGCTTCCTGATCATCGAGGCAGACGGCCACCCACCTAGAGCCGAAGGGTCTGTCCGAGGTTTCTGCCTCTTATAAGGCAGTTTTTCCTTGCCCCCGTTGCCAAGTGCTTGCTCATGGTGGTACTGTTGGGTCTCTGTAAATGTTATAAGGAGTTCGGTCGAGACCTGCTCTATTTGAAAAGTGTCCTGAGATAACTTCTGCTATGAATCGGCGCTATACAAATAAAACTGAATTGAATTGAATTGAATCGGTTGATGCATAAAAATCGGGAAAACTGGTTAAGTCAAATCCAGTTTTCAGAAGAGTGCTGCACAATCATATGTAATTTCATTCCAAATTATTGGAGGACAAGGCAGCATAAAAGACTGCATTGTACTCGAAATAGCCACAATGGCATCCGGACAAAGTTGTATGTCCTCTACATGACACACACAGTAGGTTACAGTTGCGTGTCTATTATTAAAATGTGTACTTGTAATGCAGATGGGGCTTTTGTTGGAACAGGATGCTGATAAGACCTAAACAGAAAATAGCCTGTTCACTTGACAGTATATTCATTGATTTAAAATCAGTAAATAAGTGGAAACACTAAAACAAAAACAAAAACAGATAACACGAGAGACATTTGAAAAGAGAGACATTTTACAATTGAGCCAGTGTGTGTCTGGGTCTTTTTACATTGCTTAGATGATTTATTTTTTAGAATAAGGAAGAAAGAAGCTATTGTTTCTTACACTGATGATTAACTCATATATAAATGGTTTTGAGGAAAATGGAGACGCTGCCGTGTGAAAGTCTCACTGATACTATGATTATAACAATAAAGGTTTTTGACTATGTTTGGAACCAGAGATCTTTGTGGTTCTCCTGTGAATTCACACACAACTCCCTCCAAGCTGTTCAGTGGTGTACACAATAGACTGTGGTTGTACTGCACTGCTCCAGGTTAGCAGTATGTGTGCAAGGGTGTAATTTCCCCTGGAATGGGGGGTTCCCCTCACATTTATTGTTTGATGTTTTTCCAACTGAAGTCTCGGAACATGGTTACTTTCTCTTTCAGCAGAAAGTGGGGCAGCAAAGTACAATGCTCTTGGTAAGGAAGATACAAACTTTACGTTATACAACATCATCTATCAGAAAATATCAAGAAACTAAAAAATATTTTGAGTAAGGTCACTGCATTAACAATACAGAGGATGGAAATCACAATAACCAGTGTATATATATATATATAATTATATATATATATATATATATAATTATATATGATAAAACTGCTACAACTGCTATAAAAACCAAACCTGTGCATACGTGTGTGGGTGTGGGTAGGGATTTCCTGCAAAAGAAGAGACCATTGTTCTCAAACTTCCTGGAATAGATTAATTAAAAAAGAAAGGAAGAAATCCTGCATGCACTCAAAAAAAGGAATGAGGTGGGTTGTCCACTTTATATTATTTATTTTCACTTTATTTAAAATACATGTATTTGTTAAGTTAAAATATTGTTTTCTAATAAAGTCCATGTAATTATGTCTCTCTGTAGCTGTACAAAAATATGAATGTGTTGTTTAATCACAAAAAAATTAAGTTAAGTGA